AAAAAAAGAATAATGGATTAATATAAGTTACAAGAGCTAATAAGAAGCCCGAGCTAATGGATCAATCAGTTTATAATTAATATAGACCTCTGCGTAATTTTTCTTTGGGGACTTACTGGCTGTGGGAACTGGGCAGGACATAAACCCCAACAAGCAGGCCCTCAATGCTACAGGCATTCACACAGGAGCTTTGCTTGCTGAACCATCTTACTGGCACCCTCCCTCCCCCACCATGGTGCTCTTAATCTACAAAAGTATTTGAAAACTATTGAACAATCATTCAGTAGCCCAAGCTGGACTGTGTTGAGAACTGGACTGGTCCAAAGCTTTTTCAGAGGCTTTAATGAAAGAACAGAAGCAACCTAGTTTTGTGTCCTTGATTGGGAGTAAACTTGGCAAGGCCAGTCTGGGGCTGAGACCTGGATCTCAAGGAGTTCATTTCAGTTCCTGGAAACTTGGCTTTCCCCCTGGAAAGACTTGGAGTTATCAGTTCCGAGACTGCTGTGTGTCAATGCTCATGAGATACAGTGTATTCTTCTTGTTCAACATTGCTAGATTAGACTCAGGCTGATTTTGCCCAGTTGCTGACTCTGTCCCATTCTTCCCTGGAAATAGTATGTAAGTATTCAAGCTTGCTTGGCTTAAGACAAGGCTTGTGCAAGACATCCTGATCACAAACTTTATTATCTTCTTTATCTTCTGTCTTTACCTTCTGATGAGGGCAGAGCAACTGCAAGGGTAGGGCACAGCATCCTCTGGTGCCAAGAAGTTTCCTCTACTCACCGCCATCCCTGTCTTTCTAGAGGGAAGTCCACCCTCCAAGACGTGAGGCCTGCCACTGCCACGGTGGACTTGGGTATGTGTGAAGTTTCTCCTGCTGCCCATGAGATCTGAATCCAGTAACATGAGTAACCGAAAAGCTGGACCACTTGGTTGGTACACTGATGCCACGTGGCTTTCTGTCCCACACAGCCTTCAATTCTGTGACAGCTCCTATCCTGACCACCAGCCCAGGCTACCCTGCCCCCGCCTGCTCTGCTGAGCCAATCTGGTGCAGCAGGTGGAGACGGCACATGCCTCAGTATCCTCTCTCAGGCCAGTGGGACTGCCCCCAACCCTTCAGCTCTGCTCTACCCGATAACCACTCACAGCTTCATCCAACTAACAGAGCTTCTGTTCCAGGGATCTCCCAATGTTTCAGCAGGTTGAAAGCAAGTGGCGAGGAGGGCCAAGGCTCTGAATATAGTTTGGTGGCTGAATAAAAGGAGAGCCAGAGACCATAAGCCAGGTTAATATATAGGTGAGCAGCCTTGCATCAGAGGTCTGGATCCTGACCTCTTTGAGCTGGAGCTGACTGCTGCAAGCTGCAATATTATACAGTAATTGCTCAGCCATCTTTTCACAAGCGACTTATCAGAACCATGAGACCTGGTAAAGGCTAAACCAAAAAGCAAGGCTTTTTTGCATTATTGCTTTGTGAATGAGTGGTTGTCCTTTGCTGTGGATTCTTCGCTGTAGCAAACTCCCTTTCTGTTACATATTTGGGGATTAATTCCCACAGTTCAGAACTGTTTCCCACTGCCAGGCCTTGTCCCTCTCTCCTAGATAAGCACAGGGATCTGCCTTCCTGCAATCATCTTTATCAGTAGGCATTTGGCCTGGTTTTAGGGTCCAGGCAAAGAGCACCCCATCTAAGATAGTCACAGACCTGCAAGGACGTAGAATCACTCCCTGCCCAAGCTGCTGCTCTGGTTTTACCCCACAACACCCACGATCAGAACGGCTGATGACAGCAGAGCCCAGAACGGATCATTTAAAGGCCTGGGTCTCTTCGTCGCTTAGAGCAGTAAGTCTAACTCAGACCTAGGTCCATAGAAATTACAGTGTCCAGTGCATGTGCTCTCTGATCAAGAGCCATCAGCTTCCCCTAGGTTGCCTAGTTACCTCGCAGCCTCTGTGCATGCTGGGAGAAAAGAAGTGGCACGCTGAGCGAAACAATCCATGCCCTATTCATAATTCTACAGAAAATAAACTCCTTAGCTCTTTCCTAACCACCTAAAGATGAAGGGTAGCACACTAACCTTCCCCTCTAGAGTTCCCTGATGACTCAATTCCTTTCTTAACTAACTTCTAACTTCCTCCATTAAGGAGTTCACTGGACATGGACTAGCTATTCATACTGCTCTCTCTCCGTGTGTGTGTGTGTGTGTGTGTGTGTGTGAGAGAGAGAGAGAGAGAGAGAGAGAGAGACAGAGAGAGAGAGAGACAGAGAGAGACAGAGACAGAGAGAGACAGAGAGAAAGAGAGAGAGAGACAGAGAGAGAGAGAGAATTCTTATATGATTTTCTATGGGGCAAAAGAATACTGGCCCTGGAGCCTGCTAGGTTTTAAGGGCATATATGACTGGGAGCACTGGTAGAACTAAGGACAAGGAGGAACTAAGAACAATGCAGAACAAGGAGAACAAGTAGCGGGTGGAACCATGAGAAAAGGTGGATTGAAGAGAGAAGAATAAAGAAACATGGACAGACGGTTGAATCCTGTTGTGAGTAGATTTCTTACCCCTCAAACCTTTACCCTCAGATGTCTAGCCCCCTTTTAGCTATTCACTGTATCTTTAATTGAATCCTGAAAGGGAGTCTTAAAGGCTTCCTAAAGCTGACCCTAATCCAAGGCTCATCAGGTGCAGTTCCAGAAACTTGCATATCAAGAATGGTCCTGCTGAACCTTTCAAGATCCGCCACCCTCCACCCCAGCTGCCACTCTTTCCAGATCCGCCACCCTCCACCCCAGCTGCCACTCTTCCCTCACAGAATAAAGCCAAGGGAGCAGATTCCCAGGAAACACCTGCAGCAGCTTTCCCCAGAAGCCGGGACATGAGCTGCTCAAGGGCAAAGCTCCTTGGGACAGGAACATATTCTTTTTATTTTTTTTATTTTTATTTTTTTTTATTTTCAAGACAGGGTTTCTCTGTGGCTTTGGAGCCTGTCCTGGAACTAGCTCTTGTAGACCAGGCTGGTCTCGAACTCACAGAGATCCGCCTGCCTCTGCCTCCCGAGTGCTGGGATTAAAGGCGTGCGCCACCACTGCCCGGCAGGAACATATTCTTAAAAGCACAAACTTGCCATATAGATCTGGCTGCCCTGGAACTTTCCATGTAGACCAGGCTGATCTAGAACTCACAGAGACCTGTCTGTCTCTTCCTAAATGCTGGAATTAAAAGCATGTGCTACCACATCCAGCTGGGACAAGGAACTTTTAAAAAAGATTTATTTTCATTATTCTATATTATAGGTAGGCATGTGTGTCTGTATGTGTATCTGTGCACATGAGTGTACTGCCCACAGAGGCTAGAGGTGTCAGAACCCCTACAGCTAGAGTCATACATGGTTGTGAGCCACCTGACTTGGGTACTTGAAACTAATCTTGGGTCCTCTGGAAGACCCAAGAGCAAGAGTTCTTAATTACTGCGCCATCTTGTCCCAGCCAGTCGCAGCCTGGCTATTGTGAGGGGTTCACAGCACAACCTTCCCACCGCTGGGACAGGCCCTCAATTGTGTTCCGCAGCATCTGCATCCAGTCATCCCCTCTCCGCATCGGGATGCAGCGCGTCTCCTTGTGCTCCAAGGCTAGGATCTCTGCAGGAGTCTGGGGAGTCAGTCCAGCAGCCTTGACTGCTTCTGGGAACTTAGCTGCAGAGGCAGAGGCCAGGCAGCACCGGGAGATGGTACTGAAGATGGGGCAGGACAGAAGAGAACAGGTAGAATGATGGGCAAGGAGAAGATGGAGGAAGGAGGACCAGGGGAACGGTTAGGGGCGGGGACAAGACAGAGACATGATTAGTACCTTGAACTTACCTGGATAAGCCTGCAAAGTTTCCCTATGAAGACCCAGCTCAGGCATCACCTCCCCTCATGACCTTGGATATAGTTCACACCTCTTCTAAGTGCAGTTGTAGTTTGGGGCACAGAACCCAATGCTCACCAATATCACTATCCTTAGTTTTGCCAAGCCCTGCTTAGAGAAGAGCTATGTCCCCGTGCCTCAGATCTCACTGCTGGTACCTGGACTGCCTATTGTTAGTCTGCTGGTAATGGTAGTTCACCGCTGTGGCTGAGTGGGGGCACAGCAGGTACTGGTTCTCCTCCCAGCAGCGGCTCATGGTCTGGGTGATGGCTTCATCAGACACCGACCCGGATGTCACTGCCTGGGAAAGCTGAAAGGTCAGAAGACAGGGGTGAATGTCAGGACTGGTGAATCACAGAAGGGCTAAACCTCACTGTATACACAGCCACACCAGGACTCAGACTAAACCCTGCTGTATCCACACCAACACCAGGACTCAGACTAAACCCTGCTGTATACACAGCCACACCAGGACTCAGACTAAACCCTGCTGTATCCACAGCCACACCAGCACCAAGACTCAGACTAAACCCTGCTGTATCCACACCAACACCAGGACTCAGACTAAACCCTGCTGTATCCACAGCCACACCAGCACCAAGACTCAGACTAAACCCTGCTGTATCCATACCCAGCACCAGGACTCAGATGAATGCTACAGACTCAATACTGACCCAGCTCAGAGTAGAATCAGTTTCCGAGCTTTGAGCCAATTACAGTTCGGTTTTTTTTTTTTTTTTTTT